TAAAAATACTCTTGTTATAGCGAATTGGCTAATCAAATCTCTTAAAATCTTCACTATAGCCTTATAGCGAAGTTGAGATCTAGGACATAGAGTTCGTTATAATAAGAGTTGACTGTATATATATATTACAATCTTTAGTGAAAAGAATAATGGAAAGTTTTTTTTGAATAATAAAAATTTTTAATAAATAACTTTCAAAATTTTTTTTATTTTTAAATGCTTTTGATTAAGAAATTATATATTCAAAAAATTAAAATATAAAAAATATTTTCCTTCTCTATTAATCTGAAATTAAGTTTAAGTTGAAATACTAAAAAATTAGAAAATTAGTTTTTTTTCATATTAATTTAACTTCATACTTTCTATTTCTTACTTTTTTAGTTAGAATATATTATTTTTATTATAAATTTTTAGCTGAATATTTTTTTATTAATGGATAAAGCTCATTAACATAATAAAATTTTTTGTAATCTTTATTTTAATGATCAAATACTCAAATTTGATAATCATAAAAATTTATTTATATTAAAATATATATTATAATAATACATATAAAATTTAGACTAGTAATACATATAAAATACTATATAATTATTTATACAAATTTTTTTAAAAAAAAGTTAATTACATAGTAAAAGATTACACTGTTATTATTTCTGCTAAAAATTGTATATTATAGCATAATTTAAATACTTTTACTTTTTAGTAATTATCTAAGAGAATTATTAGACATATCATATACTCAATTATTATTCTTTTTTGAATTACATAATATTTTATATATATATACAATAAAATATTATTAATTCATATGAATTATATCTGCAGAATGTGTTATATATAGTAAAGGATATAAAATTGATTACCTGAAATATATAATACTATATCAGAAAAAAAATTTTGTTAAATGAATAGAAACATTTTTTCTCATTAGATTTGAAAAAAAAATCAATAATAATTAGAGTATTTTTTAAAATGAGATAGAATTTTATAATTTTTTTCTAGTTTATTAATTTGTAAAAGTATAGAAAAAGATTACCAGATTAATAAAATAATAAAATACAATGTGTAATTACTAGTAAAAATCCAGGAATTATTTTTTTATATAGAATTTATCAATGTTATAAAAAAGAAAAGTTTAATAAATTATGTTGATAAAAGATATTAATAAAGCTACTATATCTAATATATCAAATTTAGAATAAAGTAATACATTATCATTTAACAAATTTTCTCTTGATAATATTAAATATTTGGATTATAATATTTTTAAAAGTCTTAATGATAAAATTATTAAAGAAATTAATATTTCAGAATTAGAATCATGCTCTAAATATTTTAATAAAATTTTAACATTTTTTTTTATAATTGTTCCCTTTATAGTCACATCTTACAGGATTAAAAATAAAAAGTATGATTATAATAGAAAGTGATTATATAAAAGGATTTTTATATATTATTACTAAATGTTAGTTCTGAAAGGATGTAATTATAAAATATTATAATTATAAAGAGTTTTTATATATCATTAATAGGTATTAGTTTTTACAAAATGTATGTTTATAATAAGAGATTTATATGATATAATTATATAGAAGTAACTATAGAAGGTGATGAATACTCTCTTACGAACATACATTTTATAGATTTTGCATTAAGAAGCTTTTACTTATTATTTTGAATGTATATCTAATTTGTAATTATAAAAAGAATGTTAATATTATAAAATTAATTTCTGCTAAACGTAATATGAATGATTTACTATTATCTTAATCAAATAGAACTTCAGCTTTATCTAAGTTGATAGATGAAAATTTCTATTAACTTCATTGATAATACTAGAAGATCTAATAAAATGCTTTAAAAATGCACTATTTTAATAAACTGAAAGTTATGTAAATATGCATTAAATGTACTGAAGAAATCATTTTAGATTTTCAAAAAGACAATGTTTTTTAATCCTATAAACATGCTATTTATTACAATTGCAATGACGATTCATATAAGAAGTATCCTATCTGCTTATTAGACATAGTAAACAGATGCAGATGTGACAAAGTCTAGTAGTAAAAAATAGACTAATAAAGATATGAATGCCAACTTATCTGCATTCAAGAATAAGGCAAAGAAACTGATAAAAAATTTAAAATAATTATATAATACTCTTATCACATAAAGAGAAAAAAGTAAAAAGCTAAATCTGAAAAAAAGTTCAAAATAGTAAATTACTTAAAAATATTAAAAATATTACATTAATAAGAAATTTTTCAAAAACAAAATGATATATATTATTAGTTGCAAGTAAATTTGTATATTTTTTTATTGTATTTCATTAATTACTTAAAAACATATAATGTTTACTCAATATAGGAATTATTTATGTAAAGAAAATCAGCAATCAAGTTAATCAATCACCTTTGGTTTTACAATCCAGTGTGATTTTCAATTTGTGCGTCAAAATATTGCACATTTATTTTATGGCAGAATGTGAGCGAATCCAAAAAAAAAAAAACACACTTTACGTTACTCTTGATTTATTTTTAGATTACTAATAAAATCAATATTGAAGGGCTTCTCAGCCTATTATCGCTTATTACAAGGTTTTTATGGTCAAAAAAATACTCTTATTTTAGCTTCAATTTATTTTAATTGTAAAAGAAAAAAATATTGATTACAGCTATAACAAATTTCAAAAATCCCACCGCTATAAATAGAACACGTGAGAATCATTTCAATACATCATGATAACATTAATAGCTACAATTAATACTGCAATAAAAATTTTAACATCATTATGCGATGTAAGAGATGCTATATCATCTGCATTGAGAATAACAGGAGACGGTTGAGCCGTGTAAGATGGTGAAACCAAAGTTCCTTTTGGATTGACCGTACCAGGTTGGTTTGGATGAGGAGTTGCTGTGACAACTGGAACTGTAACATTACTAGTTACAGGATGTTGGGGCAAATTACCGCCTATTTGAGGTTGAGGTTGATCGCCACCTATCTTTTGTTTTCCTCCAGGCAAATGAGATCCGGGTAGCTTTCCTTCTCCTAATTGATCGATTATTCCACCAAGTCCTGAAAATCCACTTCCACTTGGTGTTTGAGCATTTGCGACACAACTTGCTATGATAAAGAGAATCACCACGGCGAGAAAAGTGATTTTATGTCGTGTCATGATATTTTGTTTTTCTTTTGAAATCAAGGATCCTTTTATTTTTTTTTTTTTTTTTTACGAAAATCGATCGATGTAATTGCTTTTGTTACGGTGTGGAAAGTTTGAATAATAAAAAATTAGAGAGAAAGGTAATTTTATGATTCTTTTATATGTAATTTTGTCTGATATTTATCTCAACCTTCATAAAAATATCATATGTCGGATCAAATCATGATTAAATTAATACCAACTTTTTATTATAGCGTAAATAAAATTTAGCGCACGCGTTCATTCATCTCATCAAATGATTTTTTTTTTTACTAAAGATATCAAAATGATTTTATTAATGTTTTAAAAATATTAAATATTAATTAATCTATATCAATGATGCATATAATCTATATCATTCGCGACATTCGCGTAATTATAAAATGAATTTGCTGCATAATAAATCTATATGAATTTCTTATCTAAACTTAAATTATCATCCTTAAAAAAAAAAACTAAATCATAAAGTCTTTCTTAATAATAATTATATAAAAAATCCTGATCCTAGCCACATTTTTTAGTAGCATAGAACCTATTATGATTACAATAGGTTTTATGTTCATCTACTTCCCTCTTTATTCGTTGTATTAAATTATCAAATTCATTATTCGAAATATTTAATCTCTCACGATAAGAAACTTTTACTCTAATAAATAATTGTAAGATAATGTTCAGATAATTTTCCCCTAAAAAAAAAAAAATTAAAAAATTAAAAGATTATATTATCATATTTTTTTTTTTTTAAAAAAAAAAAAAGTTACCTTTATGACCTGCCCATTTTCCAATTTGAACTTCTTGTACTTTACGATGAATATCATCCAACATTTCAGTACTTTCCATAATATCATCAAGATGATTGGTCAAAAACGGATCAATCCCTCTTTGTCTCATTAAATTATGTCCTAAAACATTCAAAAAAAAAAAAAAAAATGAAAAATGAACCTAATGTATTCGATGATTAGAATGTTGATCCTTACCGATACTAGTAAATGTTCTAGTAGTAGGCGTAACGTTACGCCATTCCTGATCGGCTTCTTCCAATTCAAGGTATCCCCCAGGTTTTAGTATTCGAATCAATTCAGGAATTACGACATTAATCCATTCTATTTCAGTAAAATAAAACATCATATGTCTCATATGAACATAATCAAAGGTATTCGCTTCAAATGGTAAGGTTGATTTAATATCTTCCTGTATAAATTTGATATTCGAAGGAGAATTTTCAGGAAGTAATGAAATATTATCGTTATCAACACCAATGAATTCTGACGATGGAAAATTTATTGCAATATCTTTTAGCCATAATCCATTTCCGCAGCTGAAAATAATAAATAGTAAAGGAAAAAAAAAATTTTTTTTTCGTTTAATTTCCTAATCTGCTTAAAAAGGGGAAAAGGAATGAAAATGTTTTCGACATAAAACCTACCCAATATCCAAGACTTTAATACCACCAGTTTGTAACCATTCATGAATTGGAGCAGAAAAATCACCACCCCAATATTCCTTTAATAAATAATGTATTTCGTCCCATCTTTCTTCTTCTATTTGCGATTGATTTAATGGAACCATTGGTCTAGAAAACAAACGTAAAAATTTCCTAAGATGATTTCCCATTATGAATTAAAGAGTGTAAGAAAGAAAATTAAATTTTTTTTTTTTTTTTAGAAGAATAAAAAAAAATGGAATGGAATGGAATGGAGAAGTAAGTTTGATTTGAAGTTATATAAATAATTTAATCAGCAATTTTCATTTATTTACGAAAACATAAACAAAATAAAACTAAACAAAAAAAAAAATTTGATTGTGACAACATTTGAAAATCCCACTTCCGGTTTAATGCAAATTGAATGTCGTTCTTTTTCAATTCTACCATATATAACACTTCTTTTTCTGAATAATGATGCAGGGGAAAATACGTTTGTAAAGGTCGTGATAAATCGGAACCTCCCGATTTTTTTTTAAAATTTTTGACGTTTTAACTTTGCCGGTTATTTTCTTTGATAGCTTGAACAATAGATTAAGGAAATCAACCGAAAAAAAACCTAATTTATCATATAAACATTGGAATCTAACCGCTCTCTACCGAATCAAGATGATGTATTAATATCAAAAAATACTCTTTTGAAGAAAAGCAACCCCCGAAGGAAACCATATACCTGGTATCGAGCGGGATTGAAGCATTTGATTCGAAGAAAGCTATTAAGATTTCGGAAAATTTCCAGAAAATTTTGTAAACCCCCTTGTCCTGAGCGATTTCATTATGCATTATAATGTTGCATGTCAATTATTTACAATTCAATTTATTTCTGTTACAAACATGTCGAACCTAATTATAACTATCAAATGTCTGCTCTTTCGTTCTCCCTCTGAATCTTTTGAATGATTTTCGTTATAATTAAACAATGATTGCACAACAAAAAAGTAAA